CCTTTGGATGTGGTTTTTGTGTGGGCATCCTTTCTGTTGATGTTGATACTGTTCCTTTCTGTTTGTTAGTTTTCCTTCTAACAGTCAGGCCCCTCTGCTGCAGGTCTGCTGGAGTTTGCTGGAGGTTTGCTCTTTGCCTGGGTATCACCAGTGTAGGCTGCAGAACAGCAAAGATTGCTGCTTGTTCCTTTCTCTGGAAGCTTTGTCCCAGAGGGGCATCTCCCAGATGCCAGCTGGAGCTGTCCTGCTAGGAGGTATCTCCCCTTCAGGAGTCATGGGGGTCAGGGACCCACTTGAGGAGGCAGTTTGTCCCTTAGCAGACCTCAAGCGCTGTGCTGTGGGATCTACTGCTCTCTTCAGAGCTGGCAGGCAGGAACATTTAAGTCTGCTGAAGCTGTGCCCACTGCCGCCCCTTCCCCAGGTGCTCTGTCCCAGGGAGATGAGAGTTTTATTTATAAGCACCTGACTGAGGGTGCTGCCTTTCTTTCAGAGATGCCCTGCCCAGAGAGACAGTCTGGCCACAGTGGCTTTGCTGAGCTGCAGTGGGCTCCACCCAGTTCAAACTTCCTGGTGGCTTTGTTTACAATGTGAGGGAAAAACAGCTTACTCAAGCCTCAGTAATGGTGCATGCCCCTCCCCCCACCAAGCTTGAGCATTCCAGGTCAACCTCAGACTGCTGTTCTGGCAGCAAGAATTTCAAGCCAGTGGATCTTAGCTTGCTGGGCTTCTTGGGGGTGGGATCTGCTGAGCTAGACCACTTGGCTCCCTGGCTTCAGCCCCCTTTCCAGGGGAGTGAATGGTTCTGTCTTCCTGGTGTTCCAGGCACCAATGAGGTATGAAAAAAACTCCTACAGCTAGCTTGGTATCTGCCCAAACAACCGCCCAGTTTGTGCTTGAAACCCAGGGCCCTGGTGGTGTAGGCACCCAAGGGAATCTCCTGGTCTGTGGGTTGCAAAGACCATGGGAAAAACATAGTATCTGGGCCGAAATGCCCCATTCTTCACAGCACAGTCCCTCATGGCTTCCCTTGGCTAGAGGAGGGAGTTCCCCAAACCCTTGTGCTCCCCAGGTGAGGGGACCCCCCACCCTGCCTCGGCTCAACCTCCATGGGCTGTACCAACTGTCTAACCAGTCCCAGTGAGATGAGCTAGGTCCCTGAGTTGGAAATGCAGAAATCACCCACTTTCTGTGTTGATCTTACTGCGAGCTACAGACTGAAGCTGTTCCTGGGGCTTTTACTTTTTTAATGCTCATTTGTTTGGCATGGGAGAGGGCAAATCTATGAGGACATTTGGAATTTTCAGAACTATTTTGCTCATAATCAAGGGTTGCATGAGCATTAGGTTTCAAATCTCTTCAGTAGACTAGCCAGGCGAAATACCTGTATCACCATGTAGTAGTATTTAGCAGCCTATCCTTGATGTGGAGTGTATCCTCACATCTCTATACATCCGTGAGAAGTCTTTTGTGAGATTTATTCCCAGGGAAAGAGCCAGTCAGGGTCCCGGCTGCTGCCCTGTGGCTGGCCTAACAGAGAGATGATGTCCCAGTGTCTCTGACGGCTTCTTTTTTTTTTTTTTTTTTTTTTTTTTTTTTTGAGATGGAGTTTCACCCTTGTTACCCAGGATGGAGTGCAATGGCGCGGTCTCGGCTCACCACAACCTCCGCCTCCTGGGTTCAGGCAATTCTCCTGCCTCAGCCTCCTGAGTAGCTGGGATTATAGGCACGTGCCACCATGCCCAGCTAATTTTTTGTATTTTTAGTAGAGACGGGGTTTCACCATGTTGACCAGGATGGTCTCGATCTCTTGACCTCATGATCCACCCGCCTCAGCCTCCCAAAGTGCTGGGATTACAGGCTTGAGCCACCGCGCCCGGCTCTGGCGGCTTCTTGAAGAATCCTGTCCCTGAGGTTAGGTCCCTTCTTCACAAGGTGACACCTTCAGCGGTGGATCTGCCTGAGAGCTCTAAAACGTGATTTCTGCTGAAAAACCTGTGTCTGTCATCCGGAGGGCATCCTCTATCAATCTCATGGGATTTTATTTTCCAAATTGCTTTTAAAGCAATGGCACATAACATAAGGTGTTGCCAGTGTATTGCATCAAGCCTCTATTAGCCTAAAAGCCCTTTAGGAAAATAATTATAAAAAACACCCAGAAGAAAGTTCTATTGTGCTATTTACTAGCTGGCAGAGAACAGGGTCCTGTGCCCTCACTGACCGTCACTTAGACCAGGTATTAAGCAGAATAATTCTCTTTGACAAACAACAGCCTTCTGGAATCTTTGAGTGTTCAGGGAACCCTGACAGAGATCAAGAACTAGTTGCCAAGAATAAGAAAAGATGATGTGGCAAATCCTTGCCTTTATTTTGATCTATGGCAGAAAACTTTGGTTTTTAAAAAAATCTGGGCCGGGCACAGTGGCGCAAGCCTGTAATCCCAGCACTTTGGGAGGCCGAGGCGGGTGGATCACGAGGTCAAGAGATCGAGACCATCTGGTCAACATGGTGAAACCCCGTCTCTACTAAAAATTCAAAAAAATTAGCTGGGCATGGTGGCGCGTGCCTGTAATCCTAGCTACTCAGGAGGCTGAGGCAGGAGAATTGCCTGTCCAACCCCCAATCCTCTCAGCCCAGGAGGTGGAGGTTGCGGTGAGCCGAGATCGTGCCATTGCACTCCAGCCTGGGTAACAAGAGTGAAACTCCGTCTCAAAAAAAAAAAAAAAATCTGAATCGTTCCTTTACCTCCTTTTCTTTGTCCTTTATATTTCTGTGGGTATGCTGGCTTCTAGTTGTTACACATATTAACTGACAACCTCATCACTCACCAACTCTGTCCCTATGGCTATAGTTTGTGCATGCCTCTCTCCATGAGCAGAGGAGATCCTTGGTCTGATAACACTGTCAGTCTTCCCAAAGTCATGGCTCTAAAGGAAACAAGCCACACACGAATCTAACAGGCTAACAGGCGTAGACAGGATTTGTATTTCCACATGCTTGGCTCAACTCTGGAAGTGACTTGGGCTATTGCCCCACCACACGAAGAGCTCTAAGCATTCAGGCAATTATGATTTTTGCCCTCAGAAGGCCACAAATGACTATAATCAGTGGCATTGAGAATAAGAGAGAAAATGCAGAAACTGTTCATTCCTGCTACAGGAGAATGGGCAGACAAAACTGCAATTCAGATTCTAGAGCCCCTGGGAAGTCCATTAATCAGTAACCCAGCACAAGAACATGTTTGAGGAGAATGGAGAGGCCAACAGTGTTCTAGAAGACGTGCTGTCTTCCTTCTCCCGAGTTTGATGCTGCTTGTTTTGTTATGCTGCATGCCCTTGAGTTTCTATCCAACACTTTAGCTTTTTACCCAGGTCCATCCACACCTTGTGGCCCAGGTCCCCTGTGCAAATTGTGTATAGATTTAGACACCTCTTGTGCACCACACTCAACCCCCAATCCTCTCAGCCCACCACTTACTCCAGCCACTGTTGCAGTGACCAGTTCTCATGGGCTCTGGCAACCCTCACTTTGGCCCTGCAATGTATCTTCTCTTGCTTTCTACCCATGGGACAGAACTTATTTGGGACTCATGCATGTGCAGCCTGGAAATATGGGGAGCTGATACCTATGGGCTGCTTTTGACAAATGGGTGCCAACAGAGAAATGCTTCCCCCTTTTATCCATGGTACAGATGGTATTGAGATGCATTTCATAAGCTTCCTCCAAAGTCCCTGCTGGATGGAGCACCCCTGCCCTTGTTGCTAGCCAACCTGAAAATGCATCCTTGTATTCAGCCCCCCTCTTCCCTGTTCTCCTCCTCCTGTCTTTTATTCCTACTCCCTGGAATCTTGTTCCCAAAAGCATAAACTGCTTAACTGCACAGAAGCACTGGTCTCAGGCTCTGCTTTCAAGGGAACCCGTGCTACAACATTTGTGCAAGAAGACTGGCTCAGTCCATAGTCAGTAATTACGTAAAGAATTCTTGTGCACAAGAATAAAATCTTAGCCTTAGAGATTAATTCCAACCGTTGCTAGAATTAGCCCAAGCTGATACAGAGAAAAGGCAGGTGACTGTGGCACAGGCTCACTAAATTCTGGAAATAAAGATTCTAGGCAGTTGCTGTTATTTAAAAAATCATTTTACTTATTAAAACTTTATTTCCCAAGGCACTTCACAGCTTTCACAAAAAACGTGTTTGTTCTTTTTTAACCAGGTAGAGCATATGCTTTAGGAGTACCATGGTAACATGATCAGCCAAGAGAAGACAATTACACTGAACACAAAATATCTCCCGATAATGTTATAGGACTAAAGTGAGCTAATCTGAAAGACTGTGAACACAATTTAAATTTCTTTTTTGTAATTTCTTCCTATGATTAAGTATCAAAAAAGGAACACACACAATGACACTGTTTTTGGCACTTAGAGAAGTGCTAGAGGCTAGGGCTGGTAAGACCTGGCACCAGTGGCAGCTGCAGACAATTGCCAGAGTGATTCCGGGTTTAAAAAAAACAAAAGATGAGCCGGGTGTGGTGGCTCATGCCTGTAATCCTAGCACTTTGGGAGGCTGAGGTGGGTGGATCACCTGAGGTCAGGAGTTCAAGACCAGCCTGGCCATGATGGTGAAACCCCATCTTTAAAAAAAAAAAAAAAAAAAAAAAAAAGACATGACCAGGCACAGAGGCTCATGCCTGTAATCCTAGCACTTTGAGAGGCTGAGGCAGGCGGATCTGAAGATAAGATTAGAGACCAGCCTGGCCGATGTAGTGAAACCCCTTCTCTACTAAAAATACAGAAAAAAAAAAATAGCTGGGCATGGTTCTGGGCGCTTATAGTCCCAGCTACTTGGGAGGCTGAGGCAGAAAAATCGCTTGAACCCAGGAAGCGAAGGTCGCAGTGAGCCGGCCCCTACTGAGGCCAAGATTGAGAGCCTCTGCACTCCAGTGTGGGCAACAGAGTGAGATTCCATCTCAAAACAAAACAAAAACACAAATCAGGAGGCTAAGGAACTAGCCTTTCCCAAGTGTATTCTGAAGGGCAAATAAGGAGAAAATCACATAACAACAAACAACAAAACAAAACCAACATTACAGATTTGAGAGATAAGACAAGGTTGCTTGTCTCTCTCACGGATAAACTTCCTTTAAACCATACATAAGACTCTATAGTAGCAAGGTTTCCACAGCAGTGGAAAACAAGAATAGTAGATTCGATGGTGTATTTCTTATGGGCCTAGACAAGCCCAGTGCTTTGATCAGATGTAGACAAGTCTACTTAGTCATTATGCTGAGTGTTCTAAGAGCGTGCACATAGGCGCACTTGCCAGTGATCCGCATCTGCTCATTCTGCTCCATCTTCGTTACCTTTCGCTTTCCCTAGCCTTGCGCTCTCCTGCCCTGGGGAAGCAATGATCCAGTTAATGTCCTCTGTAACTGAGAAAAGGTAAGAAATCAAACTCCTCATGCAATTATTTCCTTTCCCTCTAAAGTTCACCATTAGAGGGACTAGGGAAGGGGTGGGGGGACTTAGACCTCTAGCCTTATTAAGGGCCTTTTCAGGTAGTCGAAATTAAAATATAAATTTAGTGTAAGCTTCTCATATTCCTCCAGTTCTCACTGGTGCTAGTGAATAATTAGCTTCTTATAAAGTGGAGTCCATCATTGTAATAGTTAGGACTTATATGAAGTTATCTGTAGGTAGCCGCAGTGTCCCTAGAGGAAGGTGGTGCTCTAGGACCATACGTAGCCTTTGAGTGGTGACCATCCATGAGCAAGTCAGACACAGGTCAAGAGGATAAACAGTAAAAGGCCTTTGTCACTGAAGGTCTCAGACTCTGCACAAGCTGGCCATTTCTGGCAAGACGATTTTTCCTCTTCAGTTTTTCCCTTACTGGAAGGTGTGTTAGAGGGCCGTGCTTTTAAGAATTGTGGGCCTTTCTTCACCATCTTTTAACATCCTTGTGTGACTTGGAGTTTGTCTGTGTTTCATTCTATAAAAACAAGCAAAAAAATGTTAGTAAAATTTTTTTTTTTAATTTTAAAAAGATGCCTCCTAGTCTCCAAACAAACTGAGGATATCTTCCCTGGGAAAGAGAATCATGAAGCAGATTCTGAAAGGTTTCTTCTAGCCTCTGCACTATCCAGCATGGCTACTGCCATGGAGATGTGTATAGTGACATGTCCACACAGGAACAGACCAGAGAGGACAGGCTATAAGTAAGCACCTTGCCATGTACAACCCTCTGATGGCTAAACTAGTCCATGGTGTCTGTGAGAGGGAATTTGTGAGTGACTCTCATGTGGGGGATTCCTGAGACCTCGCCAGGCCTAGACCCAGAGCATCAACACTGAGGGAGGAGGTCTTCTTACCCTTTGACCCTTAGCATCTGGTCAATGGTATCTGGGAGTGGGGTACCGAAGCTCTCTGGGAGAAACAAGGTGAGGATGGCTGTCAGGATGGTCAGGCTTCCCATGAGAATGTAGGGCAGGAAGCGGTCGTAGACACCTATGGCAAAGCAGACAGCGCAGGCCCAGGGCTTTGTTAGACTTGGTCTCTCTCTACCCTTTTATGCTCTCAGGACTCTGTAAGGGGGATCACCTTCCTTCTTGTTCTCGCATCTCTCACGGTCTGAGCTGCCAGATTAGAATCTGGCACCTAGACAGGTTTCAGAACCCAGAGCTGGCACGGGCACGCCCAGAGCCCCGTGGTGTTCCACCATGCAAGGGAGGAGTAGAGAGGGGTGGTTGCAGGAGAAAAGCTGGGCCATGCTAATTATTCTTATTTCCCAAGGTTGGGTTTCCAAGGAACTGGAGGTACTTGTCCAGGGATGGAAATAACTCCTCCACCTCTGCAGATGTGTTCCAGCCCATGTGATCTGCCTTCAGGCTAGGCAGGGTACTCTTGGTTTGAGATCTACATAACATGTTCACAAAGCACTCTGGGTACTCTCAGGGGTGTGCCACCTCCCTAAAGAGGTACTGGCTAGGGGTGTGCAGGGAAACTGCAGGTGTTATGAGGACGTAATTCTGAGAAGAGAAAACTGGAGCCCTGCTACATAAAATGGCATGGGGTGAATCTTCCCACAACATGAAATCGCTCTATGGTGCTCCAGGTTATGATAATTTTCAGTTCATCAGACCTCTTACATGGACATCTTTTCCTTCATCTTACTTTTAAACTCTGATTCCAAGACATTTCTCCAACTAAGTATACCGGCTTGCTAAACCACTCTGTAGGTTCTTAGGATAAAGGAATTGTAGTCTCCGATGGAAGGCCTGGGACAGCTAAAACAGAAACAAACCCTCTCATTTTCTCATCAATTTCTAGGTAGTCTATAGATTGTTCTCCATATGAAAGTCAGGGCCAGTACACTGGGATAAGAACCCTCCCCGGCTAAAGATCCAGTACTGGATGGAGCCCATGTGCTGTATGAGCTTGTTTTCCTGTTAACAAGCTACCTCCAGCTTATATTCAAGCCAATTAGTACTTCCATCCCATTGCTTTAGTGTGCCCTAGGCCCATGGGACTTACCAAGGTAAACAAAGTAGGGAGACAGGATGCTGCCCAGGCGGGATGCTGTGGAGCTGACTCCCACACCCATGTTTCTCACCACTGTGGGATACAGCTCGGCTGTGTACACATAGACCATGGAAAAGGCAGCCGTGATTCCAAACTTGCCCACCATCACCAGGGCTGTAGTCAAATAATACAAGTCTGGAGAGGCAAAGGAAAGAGGGTAAGAGTTGGCACCAACCCATAGGATGCAGCTATTGAGAGCAAAACAAACATACTTTCCCCCTGAAGTTTTGGGGGAGTCATTTTTTATCACTTCCTATTGTGGGGAAAGGGGCTGTAGCCAAGACTTCCCTCCAAGTTGATTGCTGAAAGGAGGCTGGGGACCTGCAGCTGTGTGAGGACATGCACTTTCCTCAGCCTGGAGACTGCCAGAGTAAGCTCCTCAGTAGCCCAATCAACCTGCTTCCCAGTCCAGAAGTCATTAAAGACTTGTCTGTCACGGGTCAGCTGTCACCCCAGAACCTCACACTGCAGACACTGTGGAATTAACTCATGATGTTCAGATGAACAGAACATTCAGTTCTAACTCATTTCATGCTTTCTTCCCACCCAGACATCAAAAAATTCATAGGCCATCAGAACCTTGAGTTGATCTTCTAATCTCTCTGTGCTGTGCTGATAGGAGAGCTATGCGTGACCTGAAGGTCGCTCTGAGCTCAGCTGTGAGCCTCTACATGGGTTCTGGGCTTCTCCTGCCACATCCCATGGGGAGCTGTTCCCATGTAGTGTTCCCAGTCTGGTGGGCCAAAAAGCAACCACCAGAGACTGCCAAATCTACAGGTGCACTGAAGACTCTGGGCACAGTGATGGAGAGGGAGAGATGAGGGCCCATGAGCTGTTCTATTGATTACTGGAAAGGGCTACCTCCCACCTATCTGTGGGATACCAAGATAGTTTCAGAAATAAAATCCTGCTAAGGGCCTGTGAGGCCTCTCAGTGGCCTGGCCCCTCCCCTTCCTCCTTCTCAAACATGCCAGGCTCATCCCCTGCTCAGGGTCACTGCCTTTGCCGTTTCTTCTTCCTAAAATGTCCTCCTAGACTTTTTCAGGGCTTTCTGATACTTTATGCACATTTCTGCTGAACTGCCCCCTGTTCAGGGACACTATCTGTGACTATGTAAACTAACTCGTCATTTTTCTTCATTTGTATTCCTAGAAGGTAACACAATCTGAACTATATTAAACATTTTATTTACTTGTTCGTTGTCTGTCTTATCTAACTAAGATAAACGCTCCATAAGGGCCTAGGGTTCTGCCTGGCTGATTTTCTTGTGTATCATTATCACTGAGCACAGTACCCAATCCATGGTAGAATGCCTTAGCAATTTATCAGATAAATAAAGAAGACAGGGCCAGGAAAAAAAGTAACGGAATGGCTCTTTCTTCTCCCTTTTTCTGGAGTGGAAAACAACACAAGCACATTAACTTGGGTACAGAATAAAATTAACCAACAGCCCCAATGGGCTGCCTTTTCTCACTCCCTCAAAGCCTAGGCCATAAGTGTTCTGGCCTCAGAAGGTACTTTCTATTGATTTTTAAGCCAAGAATGTATATATGTAGGTGAGCTGTGATGGGCTTGATTTTATTATCTTTATTAATTGAGAAAGACAGCTTGGTAGAGAGTAAGAGACTCAATGAAGACCCCAAACCACAGATGCACCTGGTCCCTACCTGGGGGCACCAGCTGCACGAAGAGAAGGACACTGCCACCCAGGAAGAGGGCAGTGGCCATGGAATAGCGCCGGGGCAAATACCGCAGCAGCAGCCAGGCCAACACGTATGCTGGGACTTCAACCGTTGCTGAAAGGAAGCAGTTCACATAGATGTCCCCATGCAAGTTAGGAGTATCAAGGGAAAGCCCGAAATAGCCCACTGATATGGTCATCCTGAAACAGAGTGCAGAAGAAAGCTGGAAAAGCAGTACCACATCTCTCCCAACCTGTACAACTTTTACAATGTGATTATTTCAGTAAATTCCAAACCATCTTTAAGTAGAGACGAGTAAGGCAGCAGTCACTGTAACCCTGCATCTTACTTCCTAGAACAAAAGATAACTTCCCCCAGTCCAAGTGGTACAGTGTAAACTGCGCCAGAGTACTCTCAGAGCCTTCCATATAGACAGTGTCCCCAGCAAAAAGCTTATATAATTCAGATAGATTTACTTCACTGTAAAGAAAAAGTCCAACCTGCCTTTCAGCTTTAAAAATCCTAAGCTGAACCTCCTCAAATCCAGCAACTGCAGAAGGAGCTAGAGAATGAGTCAGGAGGCAGACATCAAGTGAGATGTGATAGGATTGGGTGGATAAGATAAAAAAAAAAAAAAAAAAAAAAAAGGAACAACACATTAGATCAAACACTTGGAGAGAGACCCACACACACTACCTGTGGTGACCAGTCAGGAAGAGGCTGGTCAGAGGCAGCTGACACCAGCCCCACGGTGCTTGCAGAGCAGAGAGGTAGCTCCCAATGGAGGGGCCACATTGCCTCTCATCTGCATCCCCGCTGTGCCCTGGCCTGGGCAGTCCCAGTAGGCATTCTCTCTGTTGATGACCCACACTCTGGCAAACCAGACCTTTATGGATTAGACTGTTTTTGACTCATCTGCAGGTGGAACACACAGCTGGTACAATAAAAAGAGTATGTGCATGAGTCCCCGGGAAATCCAGAGCAGGGAGGAGAGCCTGGGTGAACACAAAGTGGGTGACTCATCGCAGGCTGGCATGTCTGTGCTGCAGGCCAAATGCTGCTCCCGTCTTGAGGCCAACTCAGGGAAAGGTGAACTGCCCAGAGGGATCTGGGCCATTCCTTGGAAGTGGGTGACTCATAGCACCCCCTCATTAGGCACAGTGGCCAACTGCCTCAAAGCTGGATGAGACTAGTAATAAGGACTCTGAGATGAAGTCTGCCCTCCTCTCCCATCTTCTCACAGCTCACCCAGCAGGGTCCAGAAATCACCTAGAATCCCAGGGTTCGGCTGCTGAGCAAAAGGTAGCCAGGCACACTTGGACATGTTCCCTCTCCCTGGTAATTCACAAATCCCTTTCTGACACACTTCGTGAAATGCCTTGTTAGTGGAAGCCTGGTGAGGACATCTAGGCCATGGCCCTGACTCCAGGGCTGTCTGTGGACATCCCAGGAGGAGCACATCCCACTTCCACATTTCCAGAAAGTAATTAGCAGCCTCTGCAGCCTACAGGACATGGTGTCTTCACTCAGATCCTTCTTTTCCCCCCCCCTAGATTGCTCAGCAGGATCAGATCCCTCTTAAAAGCCCTACCTGGCCTCCTCAGCCACTGTCTGTGACTGGGTAGGAGACAGGAACTAAATGACCCAAAGGGGGCAAAGATTCATCTTAAGATCTGGAGAGATTCCCCACCAAAGAGTTCGTATTTCCCAAAAGAGCCTCCACAATTGTTTTCATTTTCTTTTTCTGAGGTTCCATCCCATTAAGAATTGTGACATGCCCATTTCTTCAGGTAACACGAGACATATCCTTTTCACTCTCTGATGACATAGGCTTTAAGTTTTCATCCGAGGCATGTCTGTAAACAAGAGGCCCAATGGCCACCTCAAGAAACTTTGTCTGGAAGCCTCAGGCAGGTCTCTTTTACATACCACAGAATTATAGACATGATGGTGACCATCCGGATATTCCGGGTTCGAAGCAGATCCAGAATGTTGTGGGACTGCTGCTTCTTGGAACTTAGGTCTTGTAACTGCAGGAACAATATGATAAGGGTATGGGAAGAAGAGATGGTCAGAGACTTAGAGCACACAATAACATACTTGAATCCCTGGCGTCTTGGCTGTCTGCATCTCAGAGTTGGGGAGTATTGTGTTTCTTTCTTAAAAAGAACTATAAGTATACTGACTGTGTTTTAGGTTGTGAAAGCTTCCCCAGGCCTTGTCAGTAACAAATCAGAGTGAATTAAAATGAGGAAAAGTAGATGACCAGTCCCTCAAGGGTGCAGGAAGACAGGAGCCCAGGCTGACAGCTTCCTCACTGCACCCCCACATCCTCCTGTTGTGGCCATTTTCCAAGGAGACCTCTAAGTATTCCTCCCCAAGTCTGGCTCCCTGCCCTCTGGGTCAGAGAGAACCTGGCTATGTGGTTTACTGGTCTGATATCTTTTAAAAGTTAATGTGTTGAGTCCTTATACCATGTAGTTACTGGTCTGCTTCCAGGGAAAAAGAATTCAAATAGAAAAACAGGAAAATTGAACTGAGTTTCACCCAGAGTGACTTCCTACGAAATTCAGCACAGCCAAGGCCATTAATAAACTGCACGTCTAAACACACTGATGTTGCTTCTTAAGCAAACCCAGGTTTGGAGCTTGTTTTTCCAGAGTTAGAAGTTCAATAAAAGGTCAGCTTTGGCCTGAAAGGATCCCCTGAAATAGCCTCATTTCCTCAAAGATGCCAGTGGAGCTTATGTATTCACCCAGATTGACCCCTCACTTAAAAGCCTCCAAAGCCAATTAAAAGCCCTCTGCCACACTCCTCCCTGACGTTTGTGCATGGGACCCCTTTCTGGTGCATGCTGACAGTGGCTGCTGAGCCACCACTCACTGTGAAGTCCTCAGGGCTGACAGTGGCCATTGGCCTCCACTGACTGTAATAACTGTTCCCTCTTTCCCAAGCCCAACATGCCTGGCTCTCACACTTCAGCATGACTGTTTGTGGCTCTTACCACAGCCAAGTCCTTGTCTTCTAGTCAGACCACAGACACATTCCAGAACCACACCAGGCAGCATTTACAGCTTCTACCCTTTCCTCATAGTCACGAGACCGAGGAAAACTGCCTGCTGCAGAGAGGGTAGGAGAGGGAACGGGAAGGAAAAGCAAGAACCAGGAACCAGGCAGAGCCAAGAAATGACTCATGGTGTGTGAGAACAGGGTTGCAGGGAGGGTGGGGTAGGGGGAAGAGGTAGACATCAAAAAGGACCTGACTCCAAGATGATATGCAACAATTAACCATTGGAAAGAGACTAAACTCTTTTTTTCTTTTTAATGAGTAATTGCTAATACTCAAGAGATGAAACACTTCTAACCCCAAATCTATTTCTGCTTTATATTTTACACTCAGGGTTATCTTTGTAAGATGACAAGGCATCTTAGGCAATAAGAAACAATGATTTCCCGAATGATTTCCCCTTTATGAAAGTCCTATTACTCAAAAAGAATGTTCATTATTAAAAGTAATGGTTAAAAATATATGATTGCTTAGAAAGGAAGTAAAGAATGAAAATATGAAATCCACGGGAAGGTGAAGAGTGAGGCAGCTGTAACCTATTCCTCAGCTTCTGAGTGTTAACAGGACCCGCCTGGGGGGCAGCTGGGGCTCGGGCAGAGAGAGGGCTGGGTGCTGCTGCCCCCAAATCACGGTCACTCTGTCCTTCCCACCCACCCCCACGTGGTGCTTACCTCACTTGGGTCAAAGATGGTGGAGGGGACAACAATCCCATTGGCTTTGGCAGCCTTGCGGATGATCACCTCTGCCTCTTCAAATCGTCCCTGAGAGATGAGCCATCGGGGGGACTCAGGAATGAACCTGGCAGTACAAGATGTGATCTCAGTGAGGCCTCCCTGTTAACAGCGGACCCACAGACCAGGCAGAGCACAGCGGAGGTGGGAATGAGATTGCAGAACCAAAGCTTGTGGAATGTTTGGTGTTCACAAGCCAGAAGCACAGAGCTGGGCCACAGGCAGCAATAACCTGGGGTCAGTGAGCTTTTGTGAACACCGCACTGCACAAAAACGGGAGAGCCCTACACCCGCTGACAGGATCCCTAAGCTGGCTGGACACCTCCATTTCTGAAGAGCAGTGGTGCCACCTGCTGGGCTAAGGATATGATTGCAAGATGGGTTCCAGAAGCCTGGTTTCTGGGTCTATCTCAGGCCTGCCCAGGCCCTGCTAACCTGTCCTTCCTGTCCCCAGCACCAACAGAAGCTTCTGCACTTGCCTCTTAGCATCTCTTCTCCTCACCTTACCCCTGGTTTATCCAGCAGATTTATCAGATACTCTATCTAACAGCATGTTTGGCCAGGTGCAGTGGTTCACTCCCAGCACTTTAGGAGGCAGGCACGTGGATCATTTGAGGCTAGGAGTTCCAGACCAGCCTGGCCAACATGGTGAAACCCTGTCTCTACAAAAAAATACAAAACAATTACCCAGGTCTGGTGGCAGGCAACTGTAGTCTCAGCTACTCAGGAGGCTGAGACACGAGAATTGCTTGAACTGGGGAGGCAGAGGTTGCAGTAAGTGGAAATCACACCACTGTACCCTAGCCTGAGCAACAGAGACTTTGTCTCAAAAAAAAAAAAAAAAGAAGAAAAAAAAAAAAAATAGCAAGTTTATTAAGGCACTTGAGTGCTCTATGGATATTGTTTTCTATCTTTCTATGTAGCTGCCCCCACCCCCTGCAATCCCACGAGCAAGCCTGTGATGTGTGGCTTGCTCCCCAACTATGCCCTGAAATGCTCTCTGCTCCACGTGGGCTGGTGATCTCACCTTCTCCACCTGCAAGGGGTGATTCACATCTTAGCTCCTCTGCTGTGTTCCCCTCTTGGTCTGGAATGGCCTCTTCTCTGCCTGTTCAACTCCTCTCCCTTGGAGGTGCAGAAAGAGCCTGGCTTCCTCCATGTGGCCACCCTGAGGACCCTTGCTTTTGGTGCCAGTGCCTGTGGCCTGAGGCTTCAGCAGCACACAGACAGAACTAGGGCCTACACCATCCTGCCCTGAGGCTTGGGAACTTCCTGCAGGTCTTCTTACAGTTACTGCTTCTTCTCCCTACACATAGGGCAACCCAGCACAGGGCTGAGATCAAGTCTGTTGCTGTCATGGGATTCTGTTTTGCTTTGGCTCTTTTGAGTGTGGGGAAAACATTCTGAAATAACTTGTGAATAATCTATGCTTCCTGTTTCTGGGAGACCAAATAGAGATTCATGGGTTGCTGCTGCCCTCTAGTGAAGGCCAGACAGAAGTCATCCTGCTGGTGGACACAAAGGGCACAAGGTCACACTCACCACCAGAGTGCCACACACAGCACCCCTGGCACTGTCAGCGCCAGCAGCAGCATCCGCCAGTCTCGGATGAAGTAAGCAAACAGTGGCAGCACCATGTAGCCAAATGCATAAAATATGCACACTCCTAACGTAGAGAATATTATACGAACTGACTTGCCAAGAATTTCTGTCCCTGTTCAAAACAAGGGAGGTCGAGTTAGCAGTTTAATTTGGTTACTTCCGTATTAATCTTTTATGGTACCATTGTGAATACACAGACAAGAAAACAGCCAGAACTGTCTCCAAGTTCGTGGCACTAGGGAGGCAATGGCGTTCTGAACCCCTCCTGTCTGACCGTCTCCTGGGGCTGCATCCCTGTGGCCTCTCAGGCCCCCTAGCAACAGTTCCCTCATGAAAATTTCACCATGTTCTGAAGCCACATGCTAAAGATGCCATGGTAGGCCCCCTTTAATACTCACATGAGGAAGAATTCATTAAAGGTGAAGTCATTACTAAGTCAGCACATGCTGACTTAAGATTCAATACTCTACTAAGAGTGTGAAAAGAAAAAACAATCCATTCAACAATACAACCCAAGGAACTTAGAGGCCTTATCAACTAGAGTCAGGTTCCTCCAAACGCAGGCCAGCCTGGCAGCTTCTCGGTGACAACAGGCTGGCACATCTGAGACAAAGCCCTGCAGTGTGCACTCTGAATTAAAACACTGAAGGTGACGAAAGCCCACTCCTATCAATTTACTCTCTTTGTAGATATCACCAGCCACAGTGCTCTGCAGGCAAGGGGTTCTCTACCTTGGTGAGCCTGCCAGTCACGACCCCTCCTCTTCCCACCATGCCGCCCGCTTTCCCAGGCTGCCTCAGCCCTGGGCAGTGGCAGGCCCTTTTTGTAAATGGATGAGCTCTGGCGAGTCCTAGTAAATTGGCCATCAAGTACTAAGACCAAGGAGCCACAGAGGCCAGAAAAGAACAGGAAATCAGAAGTCAGGTTATTGTGCTGCTTGGGACCCCAGGCTGGTCACTTGTATGGCTCAATTTCCCTGCCCGTTAGTAGGGTTCACCAGGAAGCTCTGGCTGGTTCTTTTAGAAACCCAATCCACTTGAAGGACATCACAGCTGTCTCCAGAAAGGTGGGTGGTGGGATGATTGTGAAATACAGGATCAAGTACTCAACTCCAACCTGATGGCCATACCCAGGACAAATGCTGCCACGTAGTTGGAGATCTGGCCCATGCCTACAAAGACAAACAGCACAACAAACATCTCAAAGTTCTTCGAGAAGAGCTGCAGGAAGCTGAAGCCTGTCTGCATGCCCATGGTCACAAACAGCACATTCTTCCGGCCAAACCTGGGAAGAAAAGGAGAGTGACAAAGAACCAGCTGGAAAGGGGCAGCAGCAATGGGCTCCACCAAGTGGGGCTTTCCCAAGATCCATCCATGGAGCGGGTGTGGACAGTGTTGCCAGGATACTGGCTGCCAGGGACAGTCTCGGTCTCAGTGCCCATGCTGTTCCTCCCCCTCCCCACTCCCCAGGACAAATGTACAGCCTGGGTACCAGGATTGCCCAAAAGCAATTATGATAATGATTGCAAGAGACCGAAACACATCAATTATTTAATCCATACATTCAAAATAATTTTTTTTTTTTTGAGACGGAGTTTCGCGCTTGTTACCCAGGCTGGAGTGCAATGGTGCGATCTCGGCTCAGCACAACCTCCGCCTCCTGGGTTCAGGCAATTCTCCTGCCTCAGCCTCCTGAGTAGCTGGGATTACAGGCACGTGCCACCACGCCCAGCTAATTTTTTGTATTTTTAGTAGAGACGGGGTTTCACCATGTTGACCAGGATGGTCTCGATCTTTTGACCTCGTGATCCACCTGCCTCAGCCTCCCAAAGTGCTGGGATTACAGGCTTGAGCCACTGCACCCAGTAATAATTTTTTTAAAAAAAGAATCTGCCAACTTTGGAGAATGACAAACAATTCATTATAAATAAAAACTGGCAAAGAGGAGAAAGAAGCATTTGTCCTGATTTTCCTTCATAAACTATGTGAACAGTAACCAACAATAGATAAGAGGTAGTAACATCTATAAAAGTATTCTAACTTTAAATATATGTAATAAAATGAGAATAATCCCATTTATAGCCCCCAGTGGATTAATAGATCTATGCATTACATAGTAATGACTGTTACCATAGAGACAGTCAGGCATTGCATGTTTCCTATGGTCTTGCAAAAAGGACTGAACCTGAATCAGATCAAGTCTCTGGATCCAACTGCCAATTTTCAGGAAATGCAGAGCACAGAGGAATGTGCTGAACTGCATCATAAGTGTGCAATCAGCAAAATCCACACTGGAAAATTCCATAGGTGGAACAGCTCAGGTTCTTATTTCATAGCTAATCAGTAAGGCATAGAAAGGGACAGAAGGAGAATCTATAGATTAAGTAGGATAAAAGACATCAAATATGTTAAGTGAGCAACACTAAACTTGTGTCAAGGATGCATATTTTGATGATAAAACCAAAAAACTTGGCCGGGCGCGGTGGCTCAAGCCTGTAATCCCAGCACTTAGGGAGGCTGAGGCGGGTGGATCACGAGGTCAAGAGATCGAGACCATCCTGGTCAATATGGTGAAACCCCGTTTCTACTAAAAATACAAGAAAAGTAGCTGGGCATGGTGGCACATGCCTGTAATCCGAGCTACTCAGGAGGCTGAGGCAGGAGAATTGCCTGAACCCAGGAGGTGGAGGTTGCGGTGAGCCGAGATCCCGCCATTGCACTCCAGCCTGGGTAACAAGAGCAAAACTCCGTCTCAAAAAAAAAAAAAAACTGAAAAACTCACAAGGAAGTGATTATTACAGGGGTTAGGCTAGCGGTTACTTACTAGGGAGAGAAGGGATGCTGTAGTTGGGATTAGGCACACGGACAGGGCTTCTTAATGGGCAGCAAAGTTCTGCTTGACTTGGTGGTGGTTATAAGGTTATTTCTCTGAAATAATTCACTGGGCTACACATTTTTTTCTGTGTGGTTTTCTGTACCTGTGCTCATTTTTAATTTTTTTTTTAAGTTGTATTTATTTTGGTTTGTTTTAAAGAGTGCCACAAACAGGAGGAAAAAGTCAAGCTACTGGGAAGCAGTCAGTGGATTCAGCTTGAGTCTGGCCAGTATTGGCTGATATCCACTTTCATTCAACGTTTACTGAGCATCTATTATACAGGGCACTTTGCATATCAATAAATAAAAAAGACACTGTTTCTGCCCTTAAGGAGCTTCATAGTATAAGTGGTAAAACACATGTTAATCATATTTTAATCTAACAACACCCTACTGAATATACAATTACACACTGTGTCAAGTGCACCGAAGGATTGGCATGCAGGTCCATGAGAGGCACAAGGAAGGAAGCCACCCTGGACTGGGGTAAAGATTGGGGAACTGGACATTCAGAGAGGGACACTGAGATGGGAAAAAGTAGTTGACAATGAGGGATTTAAGGTGTAGGGACCAAGCTCTCAATGATATTCACAGTATAGTGGGGAAGACCAACATTAATCCTATAATAACACTTTTCCCCCCAATTTTTGGTAGATGTTATACAGAAAAGTCACAAGGAACTAGGGATCCTGAAAAGAAGGCCACAGTGGGTGGGTGGGGAATGCTTCAGACTCTGACAACACCACACCCCCCTGTGGCTGGAGAGGGTATGGTGAACATGAGGAGCCAGTGTGGTTGGCATCAGTCATGAAATACAAGACTATAGCGGTGGCTAGGCGGCAAACTGCACAAGGTCTTGCAGCTATGTGGAAGAGTTTGGTGTTTTCCTCAATGTAAGAGGCTTTTTCTGTTGTTTTTCCCATCACTTGTGGTGCTACTGGCGTCTAATAAGTAGAGTCCAGATATGTTGTTAAATATTCTTTTTTTTTTTTTTTTTTTTTTTTTGAGACAAAGTTTTGCTCTTGTTGCCCAGGCTGGAGTGCAATGGCGCGATCTCGGCTCACCGCAATCTCCGCCTCCTGGGTTCAGGCAATTCTCCTGCCTCAGCCTCCTGAGTAGCTGGGATTATAGGCACGCACCATCATGCCCAGCTAATTTTTTGTATTTTTAGTAGAGACGGGGTTTCACCATGTTGACCAGGATGGTCTCGATCTCTTGACCTCGTGATCCACCCGCCTCGGCCTCCCAAAGTGCTGGGATTACAGGCTTGAGCCACCACGCCTGGCCTTGTGAGCAGGTTCTTAAGCTGACCCATGACACAGCTGACCCAGAAAAATACACTGTGTTTCTACTCTGAACTTGGGGTATCTCCTTTTCACATCAAGGTCATTCCTCTGAGCCTCAGCTGCCACTTAGCACCGTGAGAAGGAGTCTCCCATGTCCACTTGGGAGGCCTCTGATCACATCACAATCCTCCCCTACCTCCCTGCTACCCTACGCTCTCCCCTCTCTCCAGGCAACCTCATCCCCATCTGAGGCTTTGCTGAGGGTTCTATATGCTGACAATTCCTCTGTATGTTTCTCCAGCCAAAATCTCTCATGCAGTACCATATTCATACAGTCAGCTGTACATACTACTTCACCACTTAGGGGTCTCATAGTCACCACAAATTTAGTACACACAAATTGAACTCAACATGTTCCAGAACATGGTTCTTTTCCAGTGTTCTCTGTCTTAGAGAAGTATATCTTAATTCATACAGTTAACCCAGGGCAGAAATCTTTTCTCCTCAATTCTCACATCCAGCCCATCGGCAAGTCCTGTTGATTTTACCTCTTACCACTTCTCTCCATTCCTACCACCCTCATGCTAGGCCATGCCACCATTATCTCTGGCATGAACTACCGTGGCAACCTTTTAGTTGGTCTCTCTACAATACCTTTTGCTTCCCTTCAATTCTTTCTCCACAAGGTTGTCAAAGCATCTTAAAAAAAAATAAAGTACAAATCTGATTGTCATACAATTGCTTTAAAAAATCTCAGTAGCCCCCTACTGCTCTGTGGCAGGAGCTCAGATTCCTAACTGTGATCCACTACGGTCTAGTCGCTCATCGGCTCGGGGCTCTGCCTGCCTCTCCCCTTCATCTCTACACCACTCTCCACACCTCTACCGCATGGATTTTGTTCTGCTCCCATGCCTCTTCTTGAGTACCGGCTTAGTACATGTTGTTCTCCCTGCCCGGATGTTCTTTTTCTCCCCTCTACCCCTCAGCGGACTACCTTCGACTCATCTTTCAACTCTCAGCTCATGCTTCACCTTCTCAGGGATGCCACCCCTGACCTCCTCTGTTAGACAATCCCATGGCACCCTGCACTTCTTCGTATCACTTACCACAGCCAAGGATAACAATGACTTCCTCACTTGGTTGTTTAATACATTCCACCCTGCTAGAAAGCAAGTTCTAGGACAGCAGAGACCTAGAACAATAGTCCATACAAAATAGAGGAGCAAGACTATCTGGGTCCAAGTCCTAACTTGGCCACTTGCCAGCTGTGAAACCCCGGGCAAGTTATTGAATCCCTCTGTTTCACTTTCTCCATCTGTAAGCTAGGAGTAATAAACAGGTTAAATTATCTGCCTTTTTTTTTTTTTAAAGATGGGGTTTCACCATATTGGTCAGGCTGGTCCTGAACTCCCGACCTCAGGTGATCCGCCCGCCTTGGCCTCCAAAGTGCTCGGATTGCAGGCGTGAGCCACCACGCCCGGCCAAATTATCTGTTTTTTAAAAAAATACCTGGCTGTACATGGTGTCTCATGCCGGTAATCCCAGCACTGTGGGAGGCGCCATGTGGCAAAGGACTTGCTAAAGGCTGCTACTCCCTTCACAGGCTTCTCTGTAGACCCTGATGCTCCAAGGAAGGAAGACACAACATAATGGACCCCTCTGAGAACTTCACGAAAGCTACGGACCTCCCTCCAAAAAAATGCTCACATGTAGTCTCTAACGTTGTGCATATAATTTCAAGGGGTTTGGGATTCTCTAAGCCATTAATGTTTAAAAGCTTTAGAATTACACAAATAACCTGCCTATGAGAAATGGGTGAAAACAGCATTCTCCTTCCTTGTCATCAAGTAAATGCCAAAGCCACGGGCCACTTAGGTAAGGGGCATCAGCCTGGTGGACACAAGAGTTCTGTTGGTCACACCACTGTGGCTGGTGAGATCTCCTCTCATTTTGCAGAGAGAATGCTGGTCTTCTTGGGACTACAGAGGTGGATACCGTGGTACTGCTGCAGATCTACAATACAGCACATGTGCATCTGTGCATGAAGTCAACTGCTCCCATGCTCAGGGACATGACAGAGTCACCGTCAGCCAGGGGAGGCAAGCCAGGCTAGTGTAGAAGTGAATCATGGCATATTAGCTAGCCAACCGGATCAGAGATACACTAGTCTTAGGTAGCTCAGGTTTCTTTACTTAGCAAGAATTATGGAGTTGGAGTTGTTGGCTCTTTTTACTAGGCATGGAGTCTATATCACAGACATAACTTCCTCTTATTTAAAATACAGGGCCCTGGTTGGACGTGGTGGCTGGGGTTACTCCTGTAACCCCAGCACTTTGGGAGGCCGAGGCGAACAGATCACAAGGTCAGGAGTTCAAGAACAGCCTGACGAACATGGTGAAACCCGACTCTACTAAAAATTCAAAAATTAACTGGGCTTGGTGGCAGGCCTGTAATCTCAGCTACCCAGGAGGCCGAGGCAGGAGAACTGCTTGAACCCACGAGGCAGAGGTTGCAGTAGCCGAGATTGCACCTCTGTACTCCAGCCTGGCAACAGAGCGAGACTCTGTCTCAGTAAATAAATAAATAAATAAATAGGCCCTGGGCTGAAAGAATGCTACCAACTGAAGCCAAGGGCCACACACACGCTTCTCACTCAGTGCTGAGGTCCCCTGCTTCTGCAGGAGACAGACACCTTACCTGTCTGACAGCTGCCCCGAAATGAAGGAGCCCAACAGCACACCCACGAAGAACAAGGAGATGGTGAGTGGGGCTTTCCAGTCGTCCTCACACACCAGGTTCCACTGCAAGATGAGCAAATGGGTGTATCACTCACTTCTTTTTAAAAAGTTTTAAAGCAGGCATCCTGGAAAACGAAGTCAGAACATCCTGCATCCCTGCATGTTCTGGGTGTAAACTCATTTACACAGGTGATGGCTCTCCTGGGCAGGAAGGCAGAAAGAAGCTTCCTCCCCATCCTGTTTTTCATAGCATTGTGGGCCCCACTGTCTTGCTTCCATTTTGAGGAGGAGAGACAAGCAGAAAGTAAGTGTTCTGTCCACATGCTCACCTGAAGAAGGCAAGGCCTCTTACTCTCACTCCTAAAAATCTGAGCAGAGCCCAGGGCTATGGAAAAGGCAGGGCACCCTTGCTCAGTGGGGTTCAAGGTCATTGGCATGAACAACACTGTAGTAGTTCTGGAAGTGGGGCTCTGGGGCACTATGGGCCAAAGCATCCTGTGAGGAACTAAGACTAGGGCACAGAGGGCACCATCTGGACCTGTTCCTCCAGCTCTGCTCAGGTTCCCACCCTGGGCCAGTGACCCCCAGGTCCTTCTTGTGATCTTTAGAGCTGGAATCCCTGATGCTGCACACCAACTATACTAGGCTCAATTATATCTGAAAGCTCTGAGCTGGGAGGTAAAAACTGGGTTTTAGCTCCCACTCTACTATCAACTCATCCAACCTCAGATAAGCATCACCCCATACTGTGCCTTGATTTCCCCATTGTAAAACAGGGATTGGGGTAAGGAACAGGCTGCACTGCTTGAGTTTCCAGCATCCAATGTGTGGTTCCATTTATAGTTACCAAGAACAGAAAAAGAGGTCTGCATGCAAGGGAGGGGGTACATGGGGAAGCAGCCAGATGCTTGAATCAGGCCATGCCTGCCTAACCAGGAGCCAAAAGCAGGAAGAAAGCCCAAACAGGAAGCTTGGTGGTTCACAGAAAAATGAAAAATGTTTTTCAGACAGTGAGATGGTGCTCAGTAGTAACCTTTGCAGACTCTTCGAATGAGCAGCCACCCTCCTGGGAACTCAGACCCTTGCCTGCCTGGCGCCAGGCTGCTGGCCTGCCCTCCACGGAGCTTGCTGGCTCCTCACCAACAACACAGGCAAGGGGACATGTGGCTCCCTAGAACAAAGCATCTCTTCCGGGCCAGTGACAGGGAAAAACAAGCCTGCTTCTCTGCCCTGCTGGGCAGTGTGTGTGCACAGCCCCCGGGCACTTCTCAGAGGGGCTGGCAGGCAACCCCCACAGCAGGCATGCTGCTAGCTCTCTGTTTGGAATAAGTGTGTACCTGGTTGGGCTGGGAGTGGGGTGGCAATCCCCAACCCAGGGAAGAATTGGAGTGTCCAATCCCCAATCAGGAGGCAGCCCAGACTAGCAGGAGTCGAGAACATGGGAGCACCACAGCCCAAGTGCCCAGGCTGCCGCAGCCTCCAACCTCCACAGCCTCAGAGGGGCCAGCACCCACAGGCCATCTCTCTGGTAGTGGGAAAGTGTCCCTGTAGTGGCCCCTATCCACACATAGGGGCATATGACATAGTTCCCTGGGACTAAATGTTCTGACCTGTGAATTGGCAGGAAGGGAAAAAAGATAGGGTGTGTTGCCCCTAAGGCAGAAGTTCTTCCTGAGATGTACCTAGCCTGAATGCATGAACAGACACACTGCTAAGCACCACATGTTACTGATTGCCATGTATTCCTACACACATTTTGTCCTGCCTCTTTCTGCAATTAATGATGAATCCTTGCCCCAGGGCTGTCAAAGCAAAGAGGAAAGGTATTTGCTATCACATCTTCTACAACTCCTGGCAGTGCCCTGTATAGAGGAGAGGCTCAGGAGCTCTTTGGTACATAGGTGAGTGAATGAATGGATAAATAAAAAGATATCAACCTTCAACATCTTAGCATACTTTGGTTCTTTTTTTTTTTTTTTTTTTTTTTTTTTGAGCCGGAGTTTCTCTCTTGTTACCCAGGCTGGAGTGCAATGGCGCGATCTCGGCTCACCGCAATCTCCACCTCCTGGGTTCAGGCAATTCTCCTGCCTCAGCCTCCTGAGTAGCTGGGATTACAGGCACGCGCCACCATGCCCAGCTAATGTTTTGTATTTTTAGTAGAGACGGGGTTTCACCATGTTGACCAGGATGGTCTTGATCTCTTGACCTCGTGATCCACCTGCCTCGGCCTCCCAAAGTGCTGGGATTACAGGCTTGAGCCACCTCGCCGGGCCCATACTTTGGTTCTTGCTTGCCTGCCCAAACTCCAGATGAACCCTGAACTTCAATCTCCAGAATATATATATATATATTTTTTTTGTTGTCATTGTTGTTGTTTGTTTGTTTGTTTGTTTGTTTTTTGGTGACAGAGTCTTGCTCTGTTGTCCAGGCTGGAGTGCAGTGGCACAAGTTCAGCTCACTGCAACCTCCACCTCCCAGTTCAAGTGATTCTCATGCCTTGACTTCCCAAATTGCTGGGACTACCAGGTGTGTACCACCAGCCTGGCTAATTTTTGTGTTTTTAGTAGAGACGGGGTTTTGCTATGTTGACCAGGCTTGTCTTGAACTCCTGACCTCAGGTTATCCACCGACCTTGGCCTCCCAAAGCACTGAGATTAAGGCAAGCGCCACCATGTCCGGCCCCCCATTTTTTTTTTCTCCCTGACCCCCTGCTTTGTGTCAACTGTTAGTTTGTCAACTGTCAGAACTTTGACCCAGGATGACGGGTCTCAGCTAGCTAGAGGGGCTCAATCTGACCACTCACGGCCAGGTGTGTCTACTATGTTTGTGTATAGTGGGCCACGGGACCCTGCAAGTGGGTTCTCTGCCTTGCCATATAGCTGTAAAAGACTGGATGTCCCCTGAGTGAGAGAAATCAGCAAAGGTATAGCATGGGGCCCAAGCTCCAGGTCTCTTGAGTCTCTGCTGCCTAGAGTCAGCCCTGGCCCCAGCTCCCGGGTTGCTATAGCTTTTCCACCAGGCAGCTTTGGGGTTAACAGTGGAGTCTCTCCCATCTTCTAAGACTATCTCTGTAAGAGACAAGGCTGATAGAAAAGCTAGTCCAGGACAATAGGGAAGGAGTGGGAGTCCTACCCAGGACTGGGCTGAGGGCTTCTCAGAAGGAGATAGGTAGAGAGCAAGGCGATGCACAGCAGCTTGGAGGTTTCTTTTTCTTGTTTGAGACAGAATCTTGCTCTTGTCACCCAGACTGGAGTGCCATGGTGTGATCTTGGCTTATTGCAACCTCCGCCTCCTGGGTTTGAGCAATTCTCTTGCCTCAGCCTCCCAAGTAGCTGGGATTTCAGGCTTCCATCACTACACCCAGCTAATTTTTGTATTTTTAGTAGAGACAGGGTTTCACCATGTTGGCCAGGCTGGTCTTGCACTCCTGACCTTGCAATCCACCCACCTCAGCCTACCAAAGTGCTGGGATTACAGGTGTGAGCCACCACACCCAGTAGGAAGTTTCTAAAGAAAGCTTTCTGTCCACAGGCTGGACTGGGCTATGGTGAAACCAAAAAGCAAGCAGCCCAGGCAACCTCTGAAAACACCCAGGTTTGCAGCGGAGGGGCTCATGGCCAAGAAGCACTGCATGATGGGTTGGCTAATTCCCCAGTACCCCAGGAATGACAGGGGTCAGAGGAGAGGCCAGCCTAGAAGCATGTGGACCATCAAACTACTCCTGAAACATGGGAGCACCAACTCTTTCACCTCATAAATCATCTTTATTTATTATCATATGGAGTCTCACTCTGTTGCCCATGCTGGAGTGCAATGGTACAATGTTGGTTCACTGCAACCTCCGCCTCCTGTGTTCAAGTGATTCTCCTGCCTCAACCTCCTGAGTAGCTGGGACTACAGGTGCATGCCACCACGCCAGGCTAATTTTTTGTATTTTTAGTAGAGACAGGTCTTCACTGTATTAGCCAGGATGGTCTTGAACTCCTGACTTCAAGTGATCGGCCTTGGCTTCCCAAAGTGCTGGGATTATAGGCGTGAGCCACCACACCCTGCCAATATTTATTGATTTATTTATTATTGGCAGATTCCCTCTGCCAATCCCAACACCTCATTCCATATCCACATGGCGTCAAAGCCCCAGTCAGTGGGTAGAGAGAGCCAGATTTCCTTTAAAAAATGCCAGTCAATGCTTTTTGGCCACCCCCAAGTTTCCCTTCTAAGAACTGAACTGTCCGTTTTTCTTCTGTTGTCAAACTTTAGAGATGATTTCTTATTCCTTAACCCATTCAATAAAAATCTTCCTGAGAATCTCCCTCTGCATCCAGAATTGTGTCAGAAATTGAGGAAGATGCAAAGATCTAAATCCACCACAAAGTTTAGTGCTGCATGTATGTACTCTAACTTGAACAAAGAAAAAAAAAATCCAAACAGGACAGCTGAGGTTCCAGTCTTCAGTGGAAATACTATCACTCATAATTCAATACCAGTGTACTTACAAACACCTTTATGTATGATTTGGGGCAGAGGGCAGGCTTAGAGACATTTAGCAGGCACAGGACTAGATGCAGTGGTCAGCAGGCCAGGTTTGGGTTGAAAGACAACAGGCCATAGAAAAAGCCATTAGAATGTTGATGAAGCAACTTCCAGCAGTAGCTGTTCACCTAAGAACAAGCAGCTCTGAATTTAAAGTAAAGCATTCCAGGAGGCCAAAACAAAGATCTAAGTATTAATCTGACCTCCCTGCAAAGATTGACAACATATAAGTAGGTGAAAAGGCACGTAACTCCTTTGAAACTGCTAAGACAGCTAAGTAAATAGTCTAAATATTAAACAACAAAAGACTGACATTGGCAGCAAGGTAAGGTCAGCCCCCCGGCACAGCTGGCCTTTGGGAGCTCATCAATGCCACCACCACTCATTTCAACGTGGGATGGGGGCAGTAAAGCAGGAATAAATGACTAACTAGGCCCTCAAGGGTCAATGTAAAACCCCAAGAGATGCCATGAGCTTCTTCTCACTTTACTACCTCCCTCTACTTTAGGCAGCTCCAAGTAGAATTTGTAGAGATTCCTGTATCATGTTCCCCTCTGTGTCCTCTGCCTGTAACCCCAGGGACAGCCTCTGCTTTCACAGTACCTGCTGGCTTCTAAGAAGGTAACAGACCCAACCTGTGAGGCTAGGACCCAGGATTTATGGCAACTGAAGGTTCCAATTCTCTGTGGATTCATGGGCCTGAAAGCACAGTTGGCTACCTCCAGTGAGTGCTTCTTTTGTCAAGTCATGAAGCTTCTGATCACTGAGGCTATGTCACTAGCTAAGAAATCCCAGTGGGGCTCAGGTCACACTCTCACTAAATATATGTGGAGAAAGCAGGTCCAGGTGCTGGGGACATCAAATTTCCAAACATAGAAAAAACATGTGTGTACACACACAGAGTCTCCCAGGGTAGCTCTCAGACTCCCTTGAAGGGTGATGACGTCAAGAAGCAACACAGTTGCGACCTCCAGAGCCCCTTTAAGCCCTTCTGAGGCTCCAGGAGAGAAGCTCAACACCCACATCCAGCAGGGTGTGAAGCAGTGCCAAGGCCTGTAGCACTCTCCCTGTCTATGAACTCTCCCCTCTCTGTAAACTCTGCCCTCCTACTGGGTAGTTTTTGTTGATGCATCTAGATCTTCAGCTTACTATTCTGCTGAGCTGAACACCTTAGACTCACTAAGAGGCTTCCTCCTCCGGGAAGCCTTCTCTGACCTGTGAATTTCTCATCCACACATTCAGTGATCCTATCTATCAAGGAGAGCTCTTCACTGGCTGCTTATTCAATGCTGCTAAAACTTCAGGGAGCTAGAGTGCCAGTGTCTGAGAAAGACACAAAACACATCCATCATTAACATCATGTTCTTACATCCAGCTCCAACAACTGCTCCAACAGGTTCAGAGGGGACAGACAAAACCACCCAGAAGGAAAATCCAAGGGGCTGAGAAATGAGAAAGGTTCCCCGACTCCCTGTGACCTAAGATCGTATGCTTTAACTAAATCTGGCCAACAGTCTTGCCTCAGAATACCTTAGAAAACATTCCAGGTCAACAAGTCACCCTGAACAGATCTTCAGATGAATGGATCTTAAATGACAACTGACCATGGGACAAGGCAAACACAGGGCATAACCAGACTGTCATTTTGGGTTGTGGACGGTAGGGGAAGGAGTAACTAGAGGAAATAGGGAAGAGGCAGCTTTATACACATGCTTTATTTAACTTTAAAAGTTCAGAAAAGAGAAGTATTTCCTCTCTTCTAAAAAGAGGTGAAGAGACTAGAGGAAAAACGGGATAGCCCCTGGCCCAAGCCCTGGCTGTGCTCGTCACCACCCCTAACCCCAACTAGAGGAAGTCCTGGACACTCATGGCCATAGGGCATCTTCCACGGACCGCCAGGACCTTCCTGGTACCCTCTTCAAAGTGGCCATCAGGATGGGAGGCCAGGCTGACAACCTGTGCTGTGAGGAGCACACCCTGGCTGGAGGTCACCTCGCAAAGCGTTCCCAAGCCACCTGGCTGGAGGGTCTCCATCACTAGGGTGTTGACTGTGGGGGAGGGAGAGTGGCAGCGTCCAGCCGCATCTGGGAGAGAGGAGCTCGGGTTCAAGGGCCGGACGGTCCCCTCCGCGCCCCAGTCTCACACCAGGCGGGGGCCGGCACCCACCTCGGTCACGATGGTGGACAGGTAGACGTCCTGGCTGAACTCCCAGCCATCCAGGCAGCTCTCCTGCTCCAGCTGCCCCAGGTCCACGTCGCGCCCCGGCTCCAGCCCGAGCGCCGAGAAGTTGGCGATGGTGGCGAGCCGGTAGCGGCGGCAGCTGTGGGGCACCTCGCGGCCGTCCTGCAGCCGCAGCGGGACACTGTGGTTGCGCCAGGCGCTGCTCAGGTTCGCGGCGTCCGGCACTCGGCAGCGGTGCTCGGGGGTCCCTATCAGGAACACGGAGGACAGGCCGGTGAAGCCATTGGGGATGATGCTGGCGCTGAGCAGGAAGAAGATGAGGCGCTGGAAGGGCCCCCACTCGCCCAGGAAGGCGGTCACCTCGTCGTAGTCCCGCATGCCGCCCTCTGCGGCCCACAGCTCGCCGCCCGGGGTCGGGGACGCGGCGGGCTTTGCGCGTGCGCGCGGGGGCACACGCCGCCGACCGGGCGAGCCACGCAGCGAGCGACCCGAGACCGTCCGCCGAGGGTAGGCTTGTGAGCTGATACCGCCGCCGCGGTCCTGCCTTACGTGGGGCGCTCTGCCAGGCAGGGTTCCGGGCCTGGGCCGTCAGGGCCGCCCCGCCGCCAGGCAGTGTGGCTCCGGCGAGGGCGGAGCTGGGGCGGGACTAGAGGGCGCGGGGCGGGCCGGGTGCACTTGAGGTCCGGGCGGAGTCTGTCCCGGGGCCCTGGCGGCGGCCGGGCCTCCACCAGTCAAGCCAGTAAGAGGCGACCGAGGTAGCCCGGGCTCGGTTTAGGAAGGCAGCGAGACTCGCGGTGTTGAGGTGCGAGTCCGAACTCGTTCCTCCAGCGCGGGGCCGGGAGCGAGTGGGAGAGCGGCCGCGAGGCTCCAGTGTTGAAAACGCACCTCTCCTAGCTTTCTGAGAGGCCTACGCGGGGTGCGGGTGGGGGCGGGGAGAAAGTGACTGGCCTAGGGTCTCACAGATAGTTGCTGTTGACACCCCCTATCCTTATAAGAGGAACTGGGACTGTTAATTACCCCACTAGAGAAACTCGGAACTATGGCTTTTCATTCTAGTCCAGATGCCCTTTCTATATTTTCGTCTGTAACAAGCCATTTCGTTCATGCCGATGTAAAAATTTAACATCACGATTAATGATCCTAGCCTAAGATTAAATATTCTCCACAGATTAGTTATTTCTGTGAAGAGTTTATTCGGGAACTAATTGGAACATCAAAAAGCAGCAAGGTGATTCTAAAGCAGCAATGTTCAATAGGATAAGGAGCTACATTTGTTATGTTAATTTTTCTAGTAGCCATATTAATAAAATTTTCAGTAGCAAGTAAAAATATAGGACTCCTAGTTAAATTCGAATTTCAGATATAGAATGAATAATTTTTAAATATTATATCCCATGAAGGAATATATAAAATGAAAATGTAACTGGTTGTCCTGTATTTTATCTGGCAATGCTGCATATTTAAAAAGTAAAAGTAAAAGATGAAATTAACTTTAATAGTATATTTAATCAGTACATCCAGAACATGATCATTTCATCATATAATCAATATAGAAATTATTGATATTTTACATTGTTATATACAAATCACTGATCTTTTATTCTCCCCCCTTACTAAACCTTAAGAATTCAGTGTGTTTCACAGGTTGTCAGGATTTGAAAAAAAGAATCCAGTATGTACTTTACAGCACATTTCAATTTGGACTAGCCACAATTTTTTTTTTTTTTTTTTTTTTTGAGACGGAGTTTCGCTCTTGTTACCCAGGCTGGAGTGCAATGGCACGATCTCGGCTCACCGCAACCTCTGCCTCCTGGGTTCAGGCAATTCTCCTGCCTCAGCCTCCCGAGTAGCTGGGATTACAGGCACGCACCACCATGCCCAGCTAATTTTTTGTATTTTTAGTAGAGACGAGGTTTCACTATGTTGACCAGGATGGTCTCGATCTCTTGACCTCGTGATCCACCCGCCTCGGCCTCCCAAAGTGCTGGGATTACCGGCTTGAGCCACCGCGCCCGGCCAACAATTTTATTTTTTAATATGTATTCATTTATTTGTTGGAGACATGGCCCCACTCTGTTGCCCAGGCAACAGTGCAGTGACACAATCGTAGCTCACTGCAGCCCTGAACTCTTTTTTTTTTTTTTTTTTTTTGAGACGGAGTTTCGCTCTTGTTACCCAGGCTGGAGTGCAATGGCGCGATCTCGGCTCACCGCAACCTCCGCCTCCTGGGTTCAGGCAATTCTCCTGCCTCAGCCTCCTGAGTAGTTGGGATTACAGGCACGTGCCACCATGCCCAGCTAATTTTTTTGTATTTTTAGTAGAGACGGGGTTTCACCATGTTGACCAGGATGGTCTCGATCTCTCGACCTTGTGATCCACCCGCCTCGGCCTCCCAAAGTGCTGGGATTACAGGCTTGAGCCACCGCGCCCGGCCAGCCCTGAACTCTTAAGCTTAAGCAGGTCTCCTGCCTCAGCCTGCCGAGTAGCTGGGACTGCAGGCACAGGCCACTATGCCCAGCTAAATTTTTTTTTTTTTTTTTTTTTTTTTTTTTTTTGCGGAGACAAGGCATCCCTGTGTTGCTTAGGCTGGTCTCATACTCTTGGGTTCAAGCAGTCCTCCCAAAATACTGGTAGCTATTGGTTATCTTATTGGACAGCATCATTCCAAGGCCTTTAAGAATTTAGACTGCTAAACTTAACAATGCAAGACATTCTTTTTTAAAATAGTAGTGGCTTAGTAATAGAAACAGAACTAAGTATATATTTTTACAATATGTGTTGGGTAAGCAATATTTAATAGTCACTATATTGTAAGTTGAAAATAAAGCTACAGAAAGGGAACCTAACCTTGCCAGCAGGTTTTTAACAAGGAAATTTAAACATTTGCATAAAGCATAATAGACTTTTTAAAAATTATGATAGGCCGGGTGCGGTGGCTCAAGCCTGTAATCCCAGCACTTTGGGAGGCCGAGGCGGGTGGATCACGAGGTCGAGAGATCGGGACCATCCTGGTCAACATGGTGAAACCCCGTCTCTACTAAAAATACAAAAAATTAGCTGGGCATGGTGGCGTGTGCCTGTAATCCCAGCTACTCAGGAGGCTGAGGCAGGAGAATTGCCTGAACCCGGGAGGCGGAGGTTGCGGTGAGCCGAGATTGCGCCATTGCACTCCAGCCTGGGTAACAAGAGCGAAACTCCGTCTCAAAAAAAAAAAAAAAAAAAAAAAAAAAAAAAAAAAAATTATGATAAAGATGTTATCACAGGACTTGTTTGTTTCTTTACACTTACTATTCAGTATTCTTGCTTCTTGAAGATGGGTGCTTATACCTTTAGCAACGTACTTAATCCCTTCTAGCATCTTATATGAAGTTGTAGTTCTTATCTGGAATTAACTGCAAAAGAAAGCAAAGCCTCTTGAAAACTCCTTTTTAGCAATATTTTTTGCTAAAATATTGTTTTAATATTTCAAAATAAATGAAAGCTTCTATAAGAAGAATGTTGACCTGTGTCCAGACCAAACAAGGTGAAGAAGTCTTATTTTAACATTCGGGAAACATTAGTTTGGTATCAGATAACACTCCTGAAAGGGATTGAAAACAATGCAGTAGACTACAAAAGAAGCTGCACATCCTTAGGAAGAAAAGAAACCATTTGTCATAGATGGCTTGTCCACGTGTGCAAAGTAGAGGGCAACCTAAGATGGTGCCGTCTGGTTCCAGGTGCACTGTGATTACTATCTGAATATAGTTATTATTTAAATTACTTTTTTTTTTTTTGAGATAGAGTCTCTCTCCATCACCCAGGCTGGAGTGCAGTGGCACAATCTTGGCTCACTGCAACCTCGACCTCCCGGGCTCAAGCAATCCTCTTACCTCAGCCTTCCAAGTTGCTGGGACTATAGGCACATGCTGCCACACCTGGCTAATTTTTCATTGTATTTTTGGTAGAAACGGGGTTTTGCCATTTTGGCCAAGCTGGTCTCAAACTCTTGACCTCAAGTGATCCGCCTGCCTTGGCCTCCCAAAGTACTGGGATTACAGGTGTGAGCCAGCATGCTCAGCTTTAAATGTCATCTTTTAAAAGAGAAAGAGAGCTCAGAATCTGAATCAGTTACCTGAGGCCCTTTATCCTGCAAGGTTCTGAATTAGGATGTTCCTATTTTACATATAGGAAAATGTAAAACTGATTTATATGGTAGATAACCATAAGGTTCAGGGCTAGAACTTTAAATGGTAGTTTGCCTCCCAGATGGCACCCAATGAATGATCCCTGTACCACAATTGGTCTATGTGACCAAAAGCATACAGCATTAGTGATGGTACTTATATCACTTGGGTGATTACATTATAAAAGATGTCCATCTTGGGTGTTCTTTCTCTCTTTCTCTTGCTCAGAGACAAGCAAGCTATCATGTTATAAACAGCCCTTTGAGGGGTTCATGTGATGTCAAAGAATGAAGTCTCTGGCCAATTTTTAATGAGGTCTTGAGGCCCATCGACAATCTTGAGTGAGCTCGGAAGTAGCTCCTTCAGCATCACTTGGGTGTTGAGATGACTACTGACAGCTTCACTGCAATCTCATGAGAGTCTTCTGAACCAGAACCACTCAGGTAAGCGGCTTCCAGATTCCTCATCCTCAGAAACTATGAGAAATAATGAATGTTGTTTTAAACTGCTAAATTTTAAGGTATTATGCAGCAACGGATAACTCATATACAAATTATTTGAATCAAACAATATGTTAAATGAAAATTCAAAAAAATAAACATCTATAATTTCTTGCTTTGTTTTCCCTTCTATTCTGCACAATGGAATTTTATAGATGAACCTTATAATAACTTGTACAATAAGAGACAGTATATTGTATTGGTTAAGTGCATAGCCTTTGGATGTATGCTAGTAGAAAGACCAGTATTCAGTTGCTTTTTTCTTCAATTCCAAGCTTGTGAGCTTGAGTAAATTTAAAGTTTACTAAGCCTCAGTTTCCTGGGATGGTAGTGCTTAGCTCAAGCTCCTAGTATATGTTAACTATAAACCAAATGTTAGTTATAATTATTTGTTTTCGTTTGATTATTGGCTCTAAATAAATGCCTTAAGAACGATGTGTTCTCCATAGATTTGGTTATGTCGGGACGTTATATAGGCTGGAGCAGTCAGCAATTATTTGCCTGAGGAAGGGAAGGTCTCCAAAGAACAGACTCCTCCTTTAAGAAGAGTAGGCCAGGGCCGGGCGCGGTGGCTCAAGCCTGTAATCCCAGCACTTTGGGAGGCCGAGGCGGGTGGATCACAAGGTCGAGAGATTGAGACCAACCTGGTCAACATGGTGAAACCCCGTCTCTACTAAAAATACAAAAAATTAGCTGGGCATGGTGGCGCGTGCCTGTAATCCCAACTACTCAGGAGGCTGAGGCAGGAGAATTGCCTGAACCCAGGAGGCGGAGGTTGCGGTGAGCCGAGATCGCGCCATTGCACTCCAGCCTGGGTAACAAGAGCGAAACTCCGTCTCAAAAAAAAAAAAAAAAAAAAAAAAGAAGAGTAGGCCAGGAGCAGTGGCTCATGCCTGTAATCTCAGCCTTTTGGGAGGCTAAGGAGGTCAGATCACCTGAGGTCAGGAGTTTGAGACCAGCCTGGGCAACATAGCAAAACCCTGTCTCTACTAAAAATACAAAAATTAGCCAGGTGTGGTGGCATACTCCTGTAGTCCCAGCTACTTGGGAGGCTGAGGTGAAAGAATCGCCTGAGCCTGAGAGGTGGAGTTTGCAGTGAGCTGAGATTGTGCCACTGCACTCCAGCCTGGACAACAGAGCAAGTTTCCATCTCAAAAAGAAAAGAGTAGAAGGCCCAAACTCAGTCCAGTATTATAGCTTCAGCATCAGAGTAGAGAATGATTCAGAGAGTCTGTTCAGCGTCTGCTTTAGATCCCGCAAATCTGTGTTTGGATGCTTCTGGTAAGGAGTGTATGGCAACTGTACCTGACAGATGCACTTGGCAGCAATAACATGCATACCTGAAGGATGACCCTATGGTCTGAGAAGAATGCGTATTCAGAGTTCCAAGCTAAGGAATCTGGGAGTGGCCAACCCAGAGATTTCATTTCTTATCTATGAGGAACTTCTGAACTGCTCCCACACCTAGCCCATCCTGTAGAATGCAGGCCCTACTAGGTGATCAAAGCCCTTTGTTTAAGTTAAATGAAGGTTGCCTGGTAGACATTGCTAGGGGACAGGTGTTAAGTAAAAGTGCTATACAAACTGCAGTTTTTTGGTGGTTTTTTTTTTTTTTTTGAGATGGAGCTTCACTCTTGTTAACCAGGCTGGAGTGCAATGGCGCGATCTCAGCTCACCACAACCTCCGCCTCCTGGGTTCAGGCAATTCTCTTGCCTCAGCCTCCTGAGTAGCTGGGATTACAGGCATGCATAACCATGCCCAGCTTTTTTTTGTATTTTTAGTAGTGACGGGGTTTCACCGTGTTGACCAGGATGGTCTCGATCTCTTGACCTCATGATCCACCTGGCTTGGCCTCCCAAAGTGCTGGGATTACAGGCGTGAGCCACCACGCCCGGCACTTTTTTTTTTTTTTTGAGACAGAGTTTTTGCTCTTGTTGCCCAGGCTAGAGTACAATGGTACAATCTTGGTTCACTGCAATCTCCACCTCCTGGGTTCAAGTGATTCTACTGCCTCAGCCTCCCAAGTAGCTAGGATTACAGGCACCTACCACCAGGCCTGGCTAATTTTTTGTATATAGTAGAGACAGGGTTTTACCATGTTGGTTAGGCTGGTCTCAAACTCTTGACCTCAGGTGATCCACCAGCCTTGTCCTCCCAAAGTGCTGGGATTACATGTGAGAGCCACCGAGCCTGGCCGACTGCATGCTTTTTGCAAGGAGTTTTGGTTCTTCTGCCCAGGCCACTGACACTGAACTGCCCTTTATTTAAGGCCCCTCAATAAATCTTATGTCTCATATGCTGGTTCTAGGTCTCTTCAGCCTCTTGAACATGGTGCTATCCTTACTGAAGTCAGTGGGGTCTGGCATGACAAGGGAAACTTGAATAAAATCTGAAATAGCTATTTTTTTCCTTGCCAAAATCCCTGTAAGATATTACTTACCTTGGCCTCAGAACATCAAACTATGACTCAAGAGTGGAGAAACGCCGGGCGCGGTGGCTCAAGCCTGTAATCCCAGCACTTTGGGAGGCCGAGGCGGGTGGATCATGAGGTTGAGAGATCGAGACCATCCTCGTCCGCATGGTGAAACCCCGTCTCTACTAAAAATACAAAAAATTAGCTGGGCATGGTGGCGCGTGTCTGTAATCCCAACTACTCAGGAGGCTGAGGCAGGAGAATTGCCTGAACCCAGGAGGCGGAGGTTGCGGTGAGCCGAGATCGCGCCATTGCACTCCAGCCTGGGTAACAAGAGCGAAACTCCGTCTCAAAAAAAAAAAAAAAAAAAAAAAGAGTTGAGAAACAGAAGTCTGTTCATGTCATCAGACAACATCCCAAGTGGGATGTCATCACCCCGATGCATACCGGCATTTGGGCAGAGTAGAGCAGCTGCAGCCTAGCAAGACCTGGCATAATTCTGTTGGTTTGCATAATAAAATGAGAAATCACATTTCTGCCGTTATGTGATCCTGCATTTTAACTTGAGTTTGTTTGGCCTGGACAGATAGGTAACTAGCCATGAAGACAGTGGACCTTGAAACATTCTGAAGACATAAAAAGGATGTAATAAAATACTTTGAACAACTGTTTAAGGACTTAAATGTCCATATTATTATTATTATTATTTTTTTTTGAGATGGAGTTTCGCTCTTGTTACCAAGGCTGGAGTACAATGGCACGATCTCAGCTCATCGCAACCTCCACCTCCTGGGTTCAAGCAATTCTCTTGCCTCAGCCTCCTGAGTAGCTGGGATTACAGGCACGTGCCACCATGCCCAGCTAATTTTTTGTATTTTTGGTAGAGACGGGGTTTCACCATGTTGACCAGGATGGTCTCGATCTCTTGACCTCATGATCCACCCACCTCGACCTCCCAAGTGCTGGGATTAAAGGTTTGAGCCACTGCACCCAGCCCATATTCTTTAGATGAGTATAATTTCCAATGTGAACCTCACAATTTGGCTTCAAGAGATAAAGACAGGTTTTTGAATTCCACAGAAAAAATAGTGCATTGCATTGCAACAAACTTGACCATCCTATTCATGGTAGTAGAAATGTAAATCCATTCCCTTCAGAGATACCTGCAAAAAATGAAATGTGAAATATGCCGCTTGTATTTTAAAGACTGTTTATTGCATTCTAGAATAGATGGAAAAGACATTAGTGAGGGCCAGCATAGAATTAGGAGTTTTCCCGGAAGACTTTTATTTATGTATGTGACATGGCAGGAAAATTGGGTCACTAATGTTTTTCACTTTTTCATTCATTTGGCAAACGTGAATAGATCGATGTGTGTCAAACACTGTTATGAGTTCTGGGAATTGAGGAAAGAAACAAGCTATCTGTTCTCATGGAGCTCACATTTTACTTGGAGGATGGGAGGCTGACAATAAACTTGTACAAATAAATACAAATTTGAGGTAGTGGTGAAGAGGGAGACCCAGGCATCTCAGATCAACTTCCCCTTTTCATTCCTAAGACTGTAAACTGAAACCCTTTTCATATGTAATTCCTAAGACTGTAAGCTGAAACCCTTTTCATATGTAATTCCTAAGAGTGTAAACTGAGACCCTTTTCATATGTAATTCCTAAGACTATAAACTGAGACCCTTTTTTTTTTGAGACGGGAGTTTCGCTCATGTTACCCAGGCTGGAGTGCAATGGTGCGATCTCGGCTCACCGCAACCTCCGCCTCCTGGGTTCAGGCAATTCTCCTGCCTCAGCCTCCTGAGTAGCTGGGATTACAGGCACGTGCCACCATGCCCAGCTAATTTTTTGTATTTTTGGTAGAAACGGGGTTTCACCATGTTGACCAGGATGGTCTTGATCTCTTGACCTCGTGATCCACCCGCCTCGGCCTCCCAAAGTGTTGGGATTAGCACCACGCCCCAGCCACTGAGACCCTTTTCATATGTTAAGCTCTAAACCTAAGATTCTTCCACCTGTAACATCTAAAGTATAAGCCTATATAAAGAAGGAACCTTCCTTTGTTAGGTGAGCTTGGCTATTAGCAAATATGCTACCTTGCTCCCGGCCAAATAAACTCCTTCCTCCTGTATTCGGTGTCCAAGAGATCTGTTTCCCACAGCCGCTCCTGCTACAGTGGCAAGTGCCAAGGAGAAAGAAAAGAGAGTAATGGCTTAGAATGACAGCCATTGAGTAGCTGCTTTAGATGAATACTGAGTGAACATGTTTCTTAGAAGGTGATATCTGAGCTGAGAGGCAAAGGATGAGAAGGAATCTGTCATGTGAAGATCTGGGAAGCAGGTGTACTAAGCAGAAGAGCAGCAAGTACAAAGACCGTGAGATAAGGGATGTGCTTGGGGTGACTAAGTAACAGAGGGAGGGAAGACCAGCGTGACTAGAACATAGTGATCAAAGTCAGTAGTGTTGGAACATAAGTCAGAGACATTGGCAAGAGGCCAGTATTTATGGAAGCCAAATTGT